TTTTCATATTGATGAAGTGCCATATTTCAGATGAATTTAAGTCAGGCATGAAGTGCATGAGCTTGTCTTGGAGACGGTTGGGAACTGTTTTATAAAATTATAGGCCTAGAGATCGGCCAACAATAGTTTGGCCAGCCCTAGCTCTAGCATGTCTACTGAGTTGAGCATTAGTATTCCTATTTTTCGATTTTGGACGGGATCGGTCATACTAACGCTCCACGACATTACATATAGTAAAGTGACAATGCTTCTCAAAAATTCCAAAGACTCACCAAAAATTCCTTTTTCACCACCTACTGCCTTTCTTAAATGCCAAAGGAAAACTTTGGGGGCTTTAGTGATATTTCCGACTTCAAACTCTGTCAAAATCAGACTGTTTTCGCTTGACACACGCATGACACTTAAACTTTTTGCCGCCGCCTCCCATTCACTAATATACTAATGCTCAACTCAGTAGAGCTAGGCCAGCCCAACTGCAGCACTATTGGAAATGTCCCCATGCTATAGTTGGGGCATAACAATTTCATCAAACATGCATTGCTAAAGTAAAGACTATGAAAGAACATGAAGAAGAGGTCATGCTATTTAAACGTCAACAAGCATTAACAAGCATCAACAAAGTGTCAACAAGTTATTCGAGTACATTTATGCAAATTTTCCTTAATTTACAATATTAATTAGGCTCCTACATGTCCTATATAATGTATCATATCTATCTGAAATGACATTTGAGTGTTGAAACTTGAGTGACAAAGTCGAGCCTACTTGTGCAGCCTGACTGGCCGCCATCTTCTTTTCACTTGGATGGCAGAGTACAGAAAAATGGCGGCCTCCATACATTACGAAAATTTTTCATTTTTGTGTGAGAATCTGCAAGCAAATTCAATATTTCTCTTACACAGTAGCAGTTCTTAGAGTCTTTGAAATGTGATAAAACCACTTTTAAATCTTTAGAAGGTCTTTTCAAGTTGTTGACGCTTTGTTGATGCTATGTGTGTGTGTTGACGCTTGTTGACGCTAAATAGCATGACCGCAAAAAAGGGTGCAGCGTGAATGTCATGAATGTCCTAGGCTTAGCAAGCATGCCTGAGTCCCAGAACTGTGTGCTGTGGGGTTTGTTGCCTGCCATACTCTCACATGGGAGCATGATGGACGATGAACCCCACAGTTCTGGGGGTATGTCTGATATCGTTGCCACGGCACTGCCCTGATGTCATGATGATTGCAATTTGCATTTTTTGTTAGCAACCGCCCTTCTTGTTCTACTAGTGTAAGTAACGTCGGCCCTGATGCTCAAAATGCTCATGACGTCAGGAAATTCAAGAGCATCAGGGCCGGAGTTATTGAAGCATGTCAAGCAGTAGCTATAAGTATTGAGACCTATTGAGGAACAACAGTCATGACAGTGTCAGTGATGGTGTTGGGCATGATCATGTCTGTGCTTGATCTTTCGTGGTAAAATCGTGGTAGAGTCCATCCACACCTAAGTGAATGGCACGTGCCACCTCAGCTTGTCTCTTTGCCGCTGTTGAAAGGGTACTTATGCCCAGAACTTGCATTGTGGAAAATAAATATCAAAACATTCAGTGCTTCCTACATTTCTTGTTGGTCATTCCCACAGGGCTTTAGTTGAGAAGCCCTGCAGGGGGTCTGTGTTCATCGCCACCAGCGCAGATGGTTTCATTGCCAAGCTGGACGGGTCTGTGGATTGGCTGAATGAGGCGAACGAGAGCATGTCCCAAGGCACACCGGAGGGCCAGGATGCCGACAGTCACTTCAAGTCCTTCCTGCAGTCGGTGGACGCCATTGTCATGGGCAGAAAGACCTTCGAGTCGGTGCTCACCTTGTGCACGGAGCAGACGTGGCCCTACGGCAATACACCGATGGTGGTACTGACAAGCAACGCTGGCAGTGTTAGCGAGCGTGTACAGATCCCGGAGTATCTCAAGGGCAAGGTGACGCTGGAGAAAGGTAGCCCCTCAGAGGTGCTGGCCCTGTTAGCAGCCAGGCATGGGGCCCGGGATGCATATATCGATGGAGGTGTCACTATTCGTGCCTTTCTTGAAGCGGGCATGATTGATCGGGCAATTGTCACCACCGTGCCCGTGACATTAGGTGAGGGGCTTCCCCTGTTTGATGCGAAGCACAAGGCACTTTTGCAGGAGATAATGGTAAAGAAGTTTGGGAATGGGTGTGTCCAGACTACATATAATGTCCGGTCTTCAGCCCACCCCTAAAATGAAACTTCAGTTGGTAAGTGAGGAGGCCAGCCTCACAGTAATTAATTATGCATATGAAATAGAAATATCTTATATGAATTGTAATATAATGCCAATTAATATTTTATTTTTTTAAAATTGATGTCATAATTATTTGATTATATTTCTAAATATCATGACCTTGGAGAATATATTTTAAGAAGGATTAATAAAGATTATAAAAGAGAAAAGGGTAAATGCTTTTATACAAAAGATGAAACACAATGATTTTTTGTGAGAGGTCAACACAAAAGAGCCATTTGGAAACAAAAGAATCTGTAAAGTTTCAAAAAGTTGTACTTGATATGCTGCGAGGCATGTGTTTTCATATTTATGTAAAAGAAGCTATTTTAGAGTGACTGAAAAAGTTTTTAGAAATACATTGAAATATTTTGATAAATCTACTGATGAAGACAGAGATGACAATGGTATTCATCTTCCATATGCTTAAATTGGTTTCCAGTAAGTAGAGACACACAAAATAAAGGTTGTGAAATATAATTTGAAAAGTCTTAAATTAGGAGGAAAGGGCAGACAAAAAATCAGGCTAAAGAATTATTTGTGAAATTTGATGGTTCTTATCACAAAGAGCTAATACAGCTAGAAGATTGTTTTTATAACTGCTAAATGTACAGAAAGATATTTATTCTCAACATTGAGGAAGAAAAATATGGAAGTAAATTTTGTATTACATCATTCACACTATGTGTGAAAATGGCTGCAGAATTGGAAAAGCAATTAAATTCAACTAATTCCAAAGCTGATGGATTATTGTTCATTTGGATGAATGTAATCACGGTTCAGGTTTTAAACAGGCCTTGAGTAAATTTGGAAATTTCTTATTAAATTAGAAATGTGTTTGCCACAAACACCAGCTATTTTGGCTGTTTGAAAAGACACTGTGAGTTGCGATGTACTTGTATGAGTTGTGAGTGTGAGTACTTAAAATAAAAATGCAACCAAATTGGACTTAAGAGTTGAATATTTGCACGTGCCTCATTCTATCCCAATGCTGCATGCAAACTGTTTTATATTTGTTGATTTGTACGAGGGGGAAAGATTCAAAACAGATCCTGGGTGTCACCCGTATTTTTTTTGGGGGGGGAACCATTTTCTTCCAGGGAAGGGCTGAATTTGAAGGGGGAGGGGAATTGAGCAAAGCACTCAGCTAAAAATGACAATTGAAGCCTTAAGGGGTTCCAGTGTGAGATTTTTTTTTCAAGCAAATTGGTGGTGTTCATCCCCTTTCATCTCTCATTTTTGTCATTTCTTTTGTATCCCCCTCTCTCTTTTTGTTTTATTTTTTACTTGGGGGGGGAGAGGTGTCCCCTTGCCTCTCCCTTGCAAAACCCATGAAGTACATTTTTATAAATCATAAATTCACTAGAACAGTAATAATTTAAACAATAAGTTTGTCATTTCCCAATCTTTGTTTAAAGTTGCTTTAATTAAATTCATCAGCAGAATAATCGATGATTTAAAAAAAAAAAAGTCAATTAATTGATGTTGCATATATCCTCCCAAAAAAGTTCGCTTCTTTCATGGATGATATCACTAGCCACTCGGTAAAAAATTCACCCTTTTATGAGACTGGTGTGGAAAAGAAAGTAACCCCCGCCACCAGGCTACATTACCCACGGTTCTAGAAAACGTGGAAGAAAAGTAGGCCCATTTCTTTTATCCTGGGAAGTGGGTCATTGACCTTACCAGTCGCTTGGGCTTTACCAGTTCAACACATGAGGGCGCACTTCAAAACATAGAACTAGATTGTTGAAGTTGATATGCGAGCAGGCTGAAACAGACCGGGCAGAATGTGAGTTTTGACTTTCGTCTTGTTCTCATCAAATCAGATTTCGTTACAGCAAAGGGTAGTTGCACTTAATTTGTTTATCTCTTTGTTAATTCTGTCTGCAGTCATGGCACTTTTTTGGAGGGTGTTGGAAAAGACCTCCAACTTCCAAGGCAATGTAACAGTCAGCATGCTAGCCCCATGGCACGGACTCTCACTCCCGATCCATCCTTAGCCATGTTACGCCCCAACTATAGCATCAGTCCCAACTATAGTTGGGCCCGTCCTAA